GGTGAGCCAGAGATACGGTATTTGCAATTCTCCATTTTCAGTCTTCGGTAGGAAGAAAAGTTGGTGATTTGTATTATGCTGACACAACCACTTGACCTCAGTGCAGCTTATGCTAATTACTTGCAAGAATATCCTTGTTTGCTCCATGCGTGCCTAGCATATTTCTTGTATCGAAGCTGGATAGATGAAATATTGCTTATATGACAGTGCAGATTGGGTTGACTGAATCAACGGCTGGTTGGCCGAGTAATCCAAGCAAACAGAAATACTGTTTGTGATGCAAGAGGGCCTGAGAAGTTACTCATTAATATTGGCTAGGTATTATATTTTTACACCACCTCACTCCCTTTCTGCTCACCATGTCTTTAATCTCTCAGGCTGACACAGAAAATAGAGAGGATCCACCTCTGCCCAAAGCAAGGTCAACTCTCCATTCCTGGTAACTGCTTATCTAGCTTGGCCTTAAAGACCTTCTGTAATGGAAATCTTACTCCTGGTTTCACTAGCTTTACAGTGTTAAGTTTTTCCTACTATCTTTGAGTGCATTTGTGCAGCTGTACACATATTCCGTCTCTGGGTATGCTCTGAGGATATACATTTTAATTAAACATACTCATCCATGAAGAGGATGGATTCCTACTGCTATTGTTCAACAAGTGCATATGTCTGGCCCCAGGATTTATCTATGCACGCACTGCAATCAGAACAATTTGTTGTGTGCGCTCTGTTCTGATCAGCTCCTCCAAGGAACGAAGCTGTGAATGCAATCTGGCTAGCTCTGACAAGATGGTCACTTTGCCTAGCTGGGACATCAGGCCTGAAGCGATCAAGTCAGCCGATCAGCTTGTCTCCATTCCCCTGACATGATGTCCTCAAGCTCCATTCCTTGTTGCACTCAAAGATGGTACCTTAAGACTGGTTTTGTTGCACTGTGCCCAAAACTCAGTTGAGGAAAGGGCAAGAAGTGGGAGGAACAGCTGAGTGGCTGAAATTGCCATTTCTTCTGCTGTTCAGCACCATTGGGAGGAGAAAGGGGAACCTTTTCTGTTTTCCACCTGCAGGAATTCATATCATAGCCCTGCCTGCAGATACCACCATGCTGCCAGAAAAGCCATCTCTTCATTGCATAGATATTCTGTAAAGATAAAGCTCTTGTTATTCAGTGTACGAGGTTCAGACTTCAGATAGGCTTCAGTTACAGCAGAGCATTTCTGAGCCTGCTAAAATTCTACATAAGCACACAGGACATACTGAGGAGGAATGGGTTTAAGCGTGTATTTAACATTAAATGGAGGCTTAAGAGCTTTGCTGCTGGGAGAAGGAAAGGGTGTTTTGTTTGCAGCATGCCTTGTCCTGTGTGGGAAGATGTTGCTTGTCTGCTACTGAGCTCCAAAGAGCCTTTCTGGTATTTCTTGGGACTGATTTGAAGCAGCAGACACCAGGATCTGGGACCTCATGGCAGGCTTTTTTTAACACTACAGATCTTTTCTCTCAGAAGTCTGGCACCTGAAATACCAGCAAGCAATCTCCAGCTATACCCCAAGGGACTGTTCTTTGTACACTGCTGTGCACACAGCATATGTAACAGAGACAAGCATCAATCTAGCTACCCCCTGCACCTCAGCGTCTCCTTGTGCTTCATATGCTCAAGCCACGCAGGGGGCTTGTGCCTGCCAGACGCAATTAGCAATGGGGGACTAGCTTTTTAATGTGTTCAGATACACTGGTTGCTTCCCCCAGCCATATGTCAAAGATGATAACCACAGCATGACATCTCTGAACAGACGCTTTGTTTCTCCAGGCTTTGTGGAACCCTGTCTGCAGGGTGGGACCAGGACAGGCAGAGGGGGCAACCAGGAGGAAATCACATTGCTGTCAGTAAGCATGGCAAGTTTCTCCCTGGAGGGACTTGCAGGCAGCCAAGAGGGGAAATGGGTGGGAAACTGGGAGGAGACCTTGTCTTTCAATTTAAGCATGGGATCAAAGCCCAGCTGAAGTTGGAGAGGTTCTGTCAATGATTTCTGTTTGTCTTTCTGTCTTTCCCTTCTCTGTCACATGTTCTGCCCATGCTCCTTTTATCTGCTCTATGGATAACCAAATACCCTACAGCAGAGCTCAGACTTCTTTGTAGAGCATAATGCTGTGGCTTTGCAGGACAGATACTGAAGTGCCTTGAGAAAGCAGAAAGATGGGGGCTTAATATACCATACGATTTGCTGGAGGACACAATCGCCTCCAGATCCTCTGCTGGGAAGTTGAGAGCAGCCCCAAAACGTTCACATGTAGAAGATCTCCATGTCCTTTTAATAGCTTTCCTTACTTGCTCAACCTTTCAAAGACTGGAGCAAGAAAATACCGTAGCTGATGGAGATTGGCCACAGGACATCTATCAAAATTATGTCCAAATTGCCTCTGGAAGCAGCATTGCAACTGCCTGAGGAAGGAGAATATGTTCAACCAGAACTGTTCAGACCAGACTGTCGCTTCCTTCACATCCCTAGGAAGGTTCACAGACCCTTCAGAAGAGCCACCCTGTTCTGCTGACCTCTGGGAGGCTTTGCCTTGTACTGCAGCTCCCGGGTGAAGTTTGCACGCCGAAGATGTGTGTGACATGGACGCCCTCTAAAGGGAAGAGCTGAGAAAACTTGATTAAGTCCCACACAGGCGAAGTTGCAGAGATTTAGGAGAGCGTGGGCATGGGCAAGGCGATCACCATCTCTCTTCATCCAGCCTCTTTGTTCTGCCTCTAAAATATGCTTGGAAACATTATCTATGCACTGCAACCATGAATAATTACAGCCAATCTACCGCACACTTAACTCACGCTGTTCTCCTGAGCTTTAATTATTGAGTCAGTTCATTACTTGGTACCTGGCAGAGCTTATCCATTTATAGGCACAAGCAGACAGTTACTCTATGGTCTGAGCAGCTTCAACTCAAAAATCATCGTGGTGGCAAATCCCTCAGCACATCCAAGTCTGTCTTCTCTCCTTCCAGGATCTGAACTCTGCACGAGGGAGGATTTTAGTTGTTTTATTTTAAAAAAAACTTATGTCCCTTGGGGACTTAGAGGGCTAATTCTAGTTGTGGGGTTTTATGTATTTGCTTATTCGGAAAGCTAAAAGTAGTCAGGCAGACTGCCAGCCACATCTTCACAGAGCAAAGGCCGCTGCAGTGAAGACTGCATTAATTACTGCCATTCTATATCATCATCCGCCTTCCCACCTGGTCAACACTTGTGCAACAGGCTCCTGCGGGGCAGGAAAGTGCTGAAGCTTTCTCATGTCCTCATGCCAGGGCATGGGACTTGCTGCAGGCTGCTTCCTCCAGGCTCCTGCCCAACCTGCCAGGGCAGCCTGCTAGCTTTCTGCAGCTAGCAGAGGGCACAGAGAGCTGGGGAAGGCCTCATAGTCAGCCACTTATGTTGCAAGCCGCTTATTTTTAACAGCACCTTGGCATCTCTTTACAGCCTCCCTGTACCACTGAAGGAAAAAAAAAAAAAAAAGGCACTTCTTGCAGTCTGTTGAGTTTTTAAGAGAGACTTTTAAGAAACAACATGGGCCATTCTGGAGAGCAAAGGTCTCACAAGTCAGGTTAAATGTATGCTCTGAAAAAAAAAAAAAAATCAGGTTCTAAAACAGGAACAAGACCAGGAGGATTCAGGCACTAAAAATAAACATGAAGTCATGCTGCCTTTCCCTGGGAACTTGACTGCCTTGCCTGGAGAAGGACCTCCCAGAGCACAGGGCCAGCCGGTGCAGGCAGCAGCATGGAGCCATCTCCCTGCCATCGGAGGGAATCCAGGAGCAGAGAGACACTGAGCTCCTGGGCAGCGCTTCCCTCCAGCTCACGGCACTCAGCTCTTCAGGATAACACGAGGTGGTGTTTTCACATGTCAGACAACAGATGAGTTGGCCGTGCCATACAACGCCAACGTAGGAAGCTTACTTTGCTATCGCTGTGGGGAACCAGACAACTTTCCCACGAGCACATCTTTGATTCCAATGCCCCAAAGGACTGTGAATCCCCCACTTCTCTCAGACGTTTCAGGGATGACACCAGTTAAATACAGGGTTTTCATCTGTACTCAGATTTCTCCGCTTTCAGTCTCAGGTTTGTCTGCTTTCCATTTCCAGTCACTGGAGCTTTTTACCACAAGGGTGGATAAAGATTTGGGGCAAGAAAGTGGATATTAGCTATTCTTATTTTTTTCTTCCCTCAGTTCTGTTTACACTTTGTTATTGTTCATAAGATAAACAGGATCCTACACATTTCATGGCAGGTTTTAACAGCAAAGGACAATCCTAATACATACTGGAAGCATCACGTATTCAAAGCATGGCACATACATTTACTAACTAATCTCTGACTAATCCCCAATCTCCAGCTAATTAGTCTGTTTGAAGTGTGCCCCTTCCTACATGAGCTAATGCTTGTTCAGCCTTTTGAAGCATTTAGCATGCTAAGTACAATCATGCATGTCTCCCTAGTAAACCGGGCAGATGAAGACTGAATAAATGCAATTAATGAGCAGCATGACAGCGCAGAAGCTCTGCGTAGGGAGCCCAGGCCCAGCTCCGAGCCCGTATCGCTGAGCCTGACCCCATCCACCTCCGTGGCTTCCCTGCACCGGCTGCGGAGCCTTCGAGTGAGGCGACAGCCGCGGAAGCAGCCTCTGGAAGAGTCCAGCCTCACTCTAGGGAGAAGTTACACACACTTATTTCTTTCTCTTTCTCTCATTTGGCATCCCCACCCAGCAGAGACAGGACGGAGTGAGGGGCCCAGCCCTGCTCACGGCTCCTGTCAGAGGAGCCCTGTCCCTCCCCAGACACCCGCCGGCACAAACCCAGGCCCACCCCCACGGCCCCGGGGGGCCAGCCCCGAGGGCACGGTGCCTCGGCCGGTGTCCCGGCCGGCCATGGAGGCCGCGGCGGGACGGGACTACACTTCCCATGAGCCCCCGCGCCTCTCGCGAGGCTTGGCGGGAGAAGCGGGCGCGCGCAGGCCGCCCCCTCCTTTCTCCGCGCTCGCTCCCGGTCGACATGGCGGCCGGGCCGCAGGTGGTGAGTAGGGCGGGTCGTTATCACCAGCCATCCGTGGGCACGGCGGCCCCGAGGGGCGCGGGGATAGCGGTAGGGGGAGCGGGACACTCTTGCGCGCCGCTGCGGCTGTCTATGGGGCGCGGCGAGGCCTCGACGTCTGCCTGTGGGGACGTAATGGTGCCCCCCCCCCCGCCATGGTGGGTGGAGGGAGGCAAGGCCGAGCTGCGGTGGGCCCCGCGGCTCCTGCTCGCCGCCTGGACGGGGCTCCGGCCTTCTCTGTGCGGGGGATGCTCCTGGCACCACGGCCTGGCACGGGCGATGCTCGGCTCGCCGATTTTGACTACGCTTGTACCGATTCCTCCCCAGCAGCGCCTGTGGGAGGAATTAAATACAGCAGCTGGTGTAGCTCTGCCTGAGCGTTGCCCTCAGTACAGTATTGGGCCTTGTCTTTGAGCACCCTGCAAGCAGTGAGGTTTAGCGGGCTGAGCCCACGTTACCCATTGCTCTTGACCGCGTACCCACGCAGAAGGAGGTCAGCGGAACGAGTTGTACGCTGCAGGTGTCGTTGCTGCCCAGGCGAGCAGCATGCTAACCACAGAGTCAAGAACAGGCTTGAGTTTTTGGGCTGGCCCTGTGTGGCCCAGGTTTGGCTGCTCTGGAAGCTGAGCTAGTGATGATAAAGTTATCCCTGTCTGAAATTAATCTTTCCTCTGTGGAAGCATGACTCTGAGGCTCAGCGTTAAAGACACAAAGGGAAAAGAATGGTGTGTTAAATGAACTAACTCTCTGTCACCTTCCTCTCTTTCAGAGCATAGCATGGTGTCAAGCAAGGGTAAAAACACTCACCTGCCTGGGAAGCTGATTCCTTCACTGGACTGTCAGTAAACCTGCACCAGCTGCACAATGGTGAGAAACATCAGCTTGTCATAATCTAGTTTTCTCCTCCTACAGGGCTATGGAAGTGAGACTCATTCTGCTGCGTCAAATTATATCCTTCTGTGTCCCCAGGGCTACTGGGAGGTGATATAAAAGCCCAATGGCTTGATTAATATAATTAAACCAATCAAGGCTGTAGCTTTGTTGCAGCTGCCACCTGAGTGTGCAGCCCTTTGCTGCCATGGAGCACAAATTGAAAGGCAGCACAGAATGAATGGGAATTTTACTGTTGTTGGTGCCCAGTAGAGCACCTGCTTGTCAGCATGGTCAAAGATGAGCAAGAGTAGAAGGGATTAGAAGTAAGAGGGATTGGATGACAGCCCATTATGGAGACACTTGACACAGCTCATCTCATAACTGTATTTGTCACAGAAATAGACCTAATGAAAGAATAATTGTCTGTTTGCCTTCCTGGAGGTGCACTGGGACAGTTTCAAACTTGGATCGGGTTGCTGGGGGTGGGGAGGTGCAGTTCACATACACCAAAAGGTCATCCTACAAAGGACACACCCTGAAGAATCCTTCCCCAGAAGGGATGTGTCTGTCCTAGGTCTGCTTGAATGCATTTCTCAAGTTAAACCCATAGACAATTTACATCCTGGATGAATGGATTATTCTTGTGTGTAAAGAGGGAGTTGGATTAAGATGTCTCTGAGGAGGAGGATGTCTGCTTGGAACGGCTAAAAAGGGTCTAAACCACCAAAGTCTTGGAGCTGGTGGGGTTTTTTTCTAAGCAAGAATTTAAACAGCATCCACCTCCCGAAGTTTATTGTCTCTGAGTGAGACAACTCACTGAAAGCATGCTCTTTTGTCTCCAAGGGACAGGTTTCTGCTGTGCTAAGTTTGTGTCAAAAATTACCTGCCTCTGAACGGAAAACTTCCTGTCTTTAATTCTTGCTCTGTGACCCAGTGCTGTTTGTTTCAGAAGAGGTGGAGAAGAAGTGAGCAGAGGACAGACTTTATACAGAGTACTGTTGCTAACAGTGTTCAATACAACTTGTGTTTAGGAGGAAATTGTCCTGCAGAATCCTGGGGTTGTACTGTTGCCCAAAGACAGCTTTGGCAAGAGGACAGCTGCTAAGCTGGGCTTCAAGCTGGTAAGAATGCTTCAGTATTGCCTGCTGCTTGTTTTTAATTTACCAATTATATGTCAGATCTGTAGGCAGCATGACTTGTCTGCTGAGCAGAATACCTAGTCTACCTAGTCTTTGAATGCTTACCAGAAAAAATACTAGTCATCATGAAGAACCCTGGTCATCAGCATGTTGGCATCTGGGTGTCTTTGCTGTATGTAATTTTGTAGAACTTGAGGAGTTTATATAGCCAAGAGCAGGAGAGAAACTGAGCCTGTGATGTGCTGTTATCCCTGTCTGACAATCCAGCTGTGAGGGAGAAACAACTGTCCACTGAGGCTTATGTATTTCCCCATAGTGGGTCTCCTGCCACTTGCAAAGACTCAGATGACACGAGTGGTACCAGTAGGCCAAAAGCAGCATCTCTCCCCTTTCCTCCTGCCCTTGCGGTGTTCAACTGCAGCACAAGCACTGTCCCATTCACACAGGCTGTTCAGCAGTTAGCTCTCCGGAGCCCAGAAATGGCAAGGCTCAGTACAGGGACTATAAGTGCTGCCTGTTGTTGTCATACCACAGTTTAGATCTGCAAAGAGCTTTTAAGTTGCTTATCCAAACAGGGAGGCACAGTGGCAGGTAGAAGGGCAGGTAAGAAATGCATTTTTATCTCATGTATTGGGTTTGTGTGGCAGGGTTTTAGTAGTGGGAGGGCTACAGGGGTGGCTTCTGTGAGAAGCTCCTAGAAGCTTCCCCTGTGTCCAGTAGAGCCAGTGCCAGCTACCTCCAGGGCGGACCCACCACTGGCCCAGGCCGAGTCCATTGGTGACGGTGGTAGCGCCTCCGCGGTAACATGTTTAAGAAGGGGGAAAAGTTGCTGCATAACAGCAACTGCAGCCAGAGAGATGAGTGAGAATATGTGAGAGAAACAACCCTGCAGACCCCAAGGTCAGTAAAGAAGGAGGGGGAGGAGGTGCTCCAGGCACCAGAGCAGAGATTCCCCTGCAGCCTGTGAGGAAGACCATGGCGAGGCAGGCTGTCTCCCTGCAGCCCATGGAGGTCCACAGTGGAGCAGATACCCACCTGCAGCCTGTGGAGGACCCCCACACCAGTGCAGGCGCATGCCCAAAGGAGCCTGTGACCCTGTGGGAAGCCTGTGCTGGAGAAGGCTCCTGGCAGGACCTGTGGACCCGTGGAGAGAGGAGCCCACAGAGCAGGTTTTCTGGCAGGACTTGTGACCCCGTGGGGGACCCACGCTGGAGCAGTCTGTGCCTGAAGGACTGCAGCCCCTGGAAGGGACCCATGCTGGAGCAGTTTGTGAAGAACTGCAGCCTGGGGGAATGACTCACAATGGAGAAGTTCGTGAAGGACGAAGTTCGTGAAGGACTGTGGAGGGACCCCATACTGGAGCAGGGGAAGAGTGTGAGGAGTCTTCCCCCCTGAGGAGGATGGAGCGGCAGAGACAATGTGATGAACTGACCGCAACCCCCATTCCCTGTCCCCCTGTGCTCCTGGAGGGGGAGGAAGTAGAGCAAATCGGGAGTGGAGTTAAGTCTGGGAAGAAGGGAGGAGTAGGGGGGAAGGTGTTTCAAGATTTTAGTTTTTATTTCTCATTACTCTTCTCTGATCTGATTGGTAATAAATTAAACTAATTTCCCCAAGTCAAGTCTGTTTTGCCCATGATGGTAGTTGGTGAGTGATCTCTCCCTGTCCTTATCTCGACCCATGAGCCTTTTGTTTTATTTTCTCTCCCCTGCCCAGCTGAGGAGGGGAGTGATAGAGCAGCTTTGGTGGACACCTAGGATCCAGCCAGGGTCAACCCACAGCTTCTCACCTGATGAACAGTCATTGAATACACACGCTGTAACAGCACTTTCTCTCTAGGTGGCTGACAGCTGCATTCTGCTAAATAATTTTACGCTTTATTTAACAGAATTTGTATTTGTTTGCAGAAGAAGGCTGAACCAGCAAACTCAACAACAGACTTCTTGACAAGTCAAGGTTAGTATACAAAAGGGGAGGGGAATGGTACTAACAAACCATCAGTCACAGTGGCTGCTCTGTCAATACAGCTGTTTTCCAAGTGGGACCAGTCACTGGAAAGAGCACGTGGGGCTTTTGGCTTCTAAGGAGTGAGGGCAAAAAAGTGACGAGGCAGTCTGATGATAAATAGGAAAAGTAAAAGCTACTCACTGCTTTGAGAATAGAGAGGGGCAGGAATTGTTTCAGAATTTTTAGGAAAGCAGTTACAGCATTGCTTTGTGGTGTCTCCCAACTCTAGAAGCAACGGAAGGAAGATTGTTCTGGAGCGGGTCTCACAAATGATACCGTCATTTGAAACAGTGTAAAATGACCACTTGGGCGTAACCGCAGGCTTCTCGCTGCTCAGCGTTTGCTGCAACCACATCATGGGTAAGTTACCAGTAAAGCCAAAGAGGATTTGGGCACTAGTGCCATTGGCTTGGGGGGAGCAAGTTTCTGTCTCAAGACCTGTACTCTCAAATAGTGCAAATTGGAAACTTCTCAGCTGACAGTTGCATTGCTCTAACACTGTCTTTTTTCCACTAGGACCTGGTCTACAGCTGGCTGGAGGAAAAAGTGGTTCCCTGCTGTCTTCTGTTCCAGAATAAAATAAGTTATGGAAAATCTTGGGAGTTGAAGTTGGGTTTTGTTTGGGGTTTTTGTAAAGCTTATCTGCTTGAACCAAAATGGTTTTGAGTGGGGTTTGGGGCTAAAATGCTTTCTGAAATTCAAGCAGTTGTGAGCTTACCCTTCATAGCAAGACCTGCTCCTCCCTGATACGTGAAGACTTCACTGTCTGCAGATGCTGAAAGTTGAAGAAAAGCAGTTCATGGTAACAGTGACAAAACTACTTATGGCTAAGCTAGTACTGGTGACAGAAATAGTTCTTGTGGTCTGCTTGGAAGCTCAAAGGAAAGGGAGAAGTCGTGAGAGGCAGTAGTACAGCCATCAGGTTCCTTGTCTGGTAAGCCCTTAAAACAGCATGTTTAACTCTAGGGCTAGGCTACACCTTTGGCTAGAAAGCCTCCCTTTGTGAAATAGGAAAGGAGGGTGTGTGTATGTGTGCCTGATGTGCACAAACAGCTCTGCCCATGAGCTGGATGGGATTCTGCCAGGATGCTGCACTGTGATGGCACTTGTTTTTAAAACCTGTTCTTTTTGCCCTGTGCATCAAGGTGCTGCTGATTGCCATGTTCAGAGTCACCTCATGGGCTGTGCTGTGGCTTGGCCAGAGCTGGTTTGAGGAGGTTTTGGTGCTGTCTTAGTCAGGTGATGTGAAGATCAGGCTCATTCTTGTCATGAAAGAGGTTTTGCTGAATGCTTGTGAATAAAAAAACCAAGCTTGACTGGCTGCCTTGGTACCATTGTAAGGTGGCTCTGATGCGAACAAAGGTTAATTTGAGACCTAGGAACACAAGATGGCCTCCAAGCTAGAGATTACATCTGCAACAGGCTTAAGAGACTAACCTTTGCTAATGCTCATTTGAACTGCCTGAAAGCAACCTGCTGTGAGCTTGAGGGGGTTTTGAGGTTCCCTGGCTCATGACCAGGATATCTCTTGCCATCTCTGCAGTAAATCATTGCTCCCCAGCTGACGTACAACAAATAGCATCCCAAGTAGAAAAAGGCTGTGCTCAGAGCTGCTCCCAGAGATCCAGCACGGCAGCCTGCCTGGGGCACCAGGCCTCCCTGCCAGCCCAGGTCTCTCCGGTTTAACCCTGCTCCCATCCCTGCCTCTGGGGCTGTTACCCAGTCAAAGGCTTGCTCTACTACATGCTACAGCTCCTTTGCTGCAGGAGGTATGGGGGTCTTGCCCCCACCCAGTTCATCAAAACAACAGAAACGGGGATAAAAGAAGACATTGACTATTTTATGTAATTACACAAAGCGGGAAAGTGTCTCAGATTACACCACTCCCTCCCCTGGGCCATATCAACCCTCTGGCCACCACCAGCTGCAGCAGCCTCTTCAGCGGGTCTTCCTTAGCAGTGCTGGCTTACACGGGATGGCTGAAGGGTTCAAGACCTTCACCTCCCTTTTTCTGGGGAGGAAAAAAAAGAGTGACAATGACTTAGACTCACCCAACGAGCTAGCAGGCTCCTTAACCTGCTTGGCATAGGGCTGCCTTCTCAAAGCACTTGGAGGGCACCACATGGTCCCTGTGCAAGAAAAACCCAACAAACCCACTACCACACACACGTGGGCTGTGGGCCAGCTCTTGCCTCCAGGATGCTCAAAGGCCAGCCGCATTTCTGATGTCCCAGCTGAGTTGCAGTAACCCTTTTCTTAGCTGATGGCTTTTAACACCCTTGTTTGTTTGAAAACACCATGAGCTAGAGAAGGCGAAAATCACAGGGCGTGCTGTGCATCTGTCACAGGGGAGGGCTGCCAAGCTGCTGTCTTTCCTGCTGATCCCAGAGGCAAACATCCTTCTGGGAAGTGGCACACGTCAACCCAGAGCTGGCTGGAATTCAGGTGCTCTGTGGTCTGGGAGGGAGGTGTTCTCCAAACACACCACCTTCCTGTTAGCTGGATGATCTAGTCTCCAGTCCAAGGATTCATCATGCCTGTTGTGGTCCCACCACAGTGACGAGCATTTGAGCTGGAGTGTGATGGCAAGGTGAAGGGTGTTTTCCACATGTACACGTCTCCAGCATCCTCTTCCAGCATCACCCTGCCCCTCCTGTGCTTCAGAGGGGCCACTGCTGCCCCACAGCTGCGTTCGTGGGGCTGGGAGGTCACAGCCACATGCCGTGCTGCTTCTTGGTGCCCCAAAGGCCACGTTCAATCACACTGAGCCACAAAACATTGCTGGAGATCCCTGAGAAAAACGCAACATTTCTCTGCCAGTTTCAGCTTGCCCCTTACCATCACACCACCACTGGCTGTGGTGTGGCGGGTCTTGCTCCTTGGGCTGGCTGGCCAGCTGGGGAGAACCCTCGGGAGGGAGAAGGTGGCCTTTGGGAAAGAGAAGAGCCACAGGAGTCCTCAGACTTGCCCCTGTGGGCGGCTGCCCAGCCTCACCGCTGGTAGAGGGTCATGATCCCTGCGTGGTGCAGGCTCCTCCACAGCGCTGACTCCAGCATCATGTCGTGGTTGGCATAAAACACCAGTGGTTTCTTCTCCAGCTCGTAGTAGTGGTCTGAGAACTGCTTATAGTTGGCAGTGATGAACCCGTAGGCACTGACCTGCAGGGAGGGAGGTGGGACAGACAGACAAAGGACAGGGTCAGGGCTCCACCTTGGGCGGTCCATGCACCACCACCCACCCCCCAGGGATGGGGTGGCACATGTAGGACAGCCACCAGGACACGCTGGTCCCCACCAGGAGCCTTACAGCAGCTATTCACAAGCCCCCAGCAGCCAAAGGGGGGGATATCCTTGTCCCCAGGGGGAAGGTGGCCCCATGGCCTCTTACCTGGTCGCAGGTGTGGAGCGCGGTGAGGAGCATGAGAGCACCGGTGCTGGGCATGTAGAGCGAGCCGTACTGCGTGTTCAGGAGCTCCGACCGCAGGAACCTGCCGGTGGACACGGCAGGTTGGGGGGGGGGGAATCACGGCTGGCACAGCACCGTGGCCCCCAGCACCAGACCCAGCAGCACCCATCCAGCCCCCATCATGCACTCGGTGACACCAGTGCCTGGTAAGGCAGAAGCACCAAGTGAAACACAGGACTTGTGGATTCTCTGATGGCTGCTACTAAGGTTCAGCTCATTTGTTGCAGGTTGCTAAAAGGCACCTCTCTGCTGTTTGAAATCACACCAACCCATGTGCCTGCTTTCATGAAAGGTAGGAAGAGACAATCCTTTTGGGCCCTACCTCTGCTCCTGTTAGACTAGGTCAAAATTTAATTTATCTGGGGAAATGGGGAGACAAGGTGAGCACAGTGAGGTGTAGGAGGGGATGTGAGCTGTGCTGCAGCAAATAGGAATGGCAGGGGAGAGATGCCTCTGCCTTGTCTGCAGAGAGCAGGGCAGAGGTGGTTCCAATGCCTGGGGAGGACTGGGACTGCGTTTTGATGCTGGGCAGCCACTGGTCTGTACTGGAGAGAGCAGTGGTGGGAGGCAGATGGTCTGAGCCCAGCATGGAGCAGAGCTGGGCAGCAGCCACGGTCCTCATCATCCTCACCTCGCTGTCAGGTACTGCAAGAAATCTGGATGCAGCAGCTTGAACTTCTCTGCAGATGCCTCTGGTCCAAAATACTTCTGTGGTCTGCATTGGGGCAAGGAGAAGGGCAGAAGTCATGTCACAGGAGTCCTGGAGCTACTTAGGGTTTATCCCACCAGGGACAGACACGGGGCGAGGGCAGGCAACTCATACTCCCTCTGGTACATCACCAACGGTGCTGGGAGGATCTGGGGGGGCTACTCACTTGTCCCCCTTGTCCGAGCCCTCGGGGACTGGGATGCCCTGGATGGCCGACTTCAGCATGACATAGTCCCGGACATCTGAGGGGATGAAGATGTACCTCAGGTCCTGCAGTGGGGACACAGACGTGGCACTTGAGGGGGGGCTTTCGGGCACTGCCCACGCCAACGGGACGAGGACTGAGGGAGCAAGCCCAGCCTCAAGGGAGAATTTGGGGTCACCTCCCCAACAAGCCCTTGGGGTCTCACCTTGGCCTGGGGTATCTGGGTGAAGCCGTACTCCTCATAGGCGATGAGAGAGTTCTTCATGGTGTTCACCGTGAAGCCGTAGAAGGAGATCTTGGTCCCGACGTCCTCCTCGAAGCCTTTGATCACGGCACCGTTGAGCCTGCGGGAAAAGCGCAGGACACGTGTCCTGGACTGGCCTCTCCCCAGCACCCGTGGCCCCATCCTGCCCAGGACCTGTCCGCACCTGAAGACCAGGTCGTGCGCATCGATCGCCTTGCCCTGCCGCGAGCCGTTGAGGATGCCGCCGTTTCCCACCACGGCGCAGCGGACACAGCCCCCGGGGAAAGCGTCCCTGTCAAAGAGGTGCCTGTTGGCGGAGGTGTTGAGAAGCCGGAGGGTGCTGCCCACCACTGGAACAGAGCAGGATGGGGCCGGTCAGTGGGGAAAAGGTGTGCATCAGCCCGCGTGAGCACCTGTGCGCTTAAGCGTGCAACAGCACGCACGGACAAACTTGTGCAAGAGCACATCCAGGAGCAGCACACAAGGAAGCTCATGCTATCCTCGTGCAGGACAGGGGTCTACAGGTGGGATGGGGGGACACCAGCCAGTGCCACCTCTCACAGGCTCGGTGTCACCCCCTCACAGCCCTTCCTAAGCCTGCTCCAAACAGCGGCCACCTGAGGCCATGCAAGGCATGGGGATGCATCGGGACATCTCCAGCCCCAGCCCTGTGGATGCTGCTGCCTGTGCTGGCCGTGTCCCCTCCTGACAATGTCTCCTTGCAAATGCCACTGGTTGACTCCCCCCCCGCTGCCCCCAGCACTTCCCAGCCCAGGGATTGAAGCTGGCGGCTGCCAGGGAGAGCAGAGAGTGGGTCTGGGGTAGGAAGGGAAACAATCTCCATCCACAACAATGGAGAGGGTTGTCCGAGCTCCTCCGGCCCCAGTTAATAATCATGCACACACTGGAGCTTTTATTCAGGGAAAATGTCACAAGATGCAGCAAATGGCATTTGCAAAGCCATCCCC